GCATTTAATGTAATATACACGACTAACTAGTTTTGTGAAAACCAATAGAGGAGGAAAAATTAGTAACAATTTACCAAGCAGAATTTTAAGAAACTTAATTGTAAATGCTCATACTATCCACTTGAATGGATCTGCAAAAACCTCATTTTTAGGATGCTCAAATTTACTTAAGTACTTACTCTTATAAGGTTTTTAAAGTCTTATTTGTTCCTATTAAGTTTTATCTTCCAGGGGTGCCTGGATGGCTCAGTTGGTTAAGTGTCTTGACTTCAGCTCGGGTCATGATCTCACAGCTCATCAGGCTCTGTGTTGACAGCTCAGAGACTGGAGCCTGTTTGGGATTCTGTATCTCCCTCTTTCTCTCTGCCCTTCCTCCACTCATGCTGTTTCTTTCCCTCCCTCTCAAAAGTAAACATTAAAAATATTTTTTAAATAAGAAAATGTTTCATTTTCCAATAAAGCAAATCTAAAAATAAAAAACCCTTTTTATTACTGTCAAATCCTAAATCAAATGACATGCACTAGATAGTCATGATTCCAAAATAATGCCATATAAAAATGACAAAAATGACTCAGCAAAAAGTAATGGTGATGGTAGTGGTAATAGCTGACATTTAACAAGCATTTTGCTCTGTGCTTTGCACTGTGCCAAGAAATTTATATGTACTTTCATTTAATCCTTACTAAAAACTTTTAGTTAGATACCATTATTTCCATTTCATGTGAGAGCTGAGTCTGACTTGCCTATGATCATGCAGCTAGTATGTACGCCATGTACTGAAACTACAATTTAAAAAGGCACTTGTTTCTTTAATTAACTTGAGTCCTTGAGTACTTGTGACAATAAAGGAGAACAACACTGGTACAGATAACTGAAAACTATAGATACTCTATAAGTCCTTTAGTAAAGAGAGACAAGAGACAGAGAAGGAGCTATACTCCCTTAAAGGGCCTAACAGGTTAACAGATTTGTGGGAAGGGGTCCCATACAAAGACACACAAGTAATATGTGATGTTACCAGGACACAATACCTGTAATTCTCAAGCTGGAGTAGTTGGATATACAACATGTTTTCAAAAACCCGACCCAAACTGCAGTTTAACAAAAAGCAATGATTCCAAAAACTTTATTGTAAATGTAATACCGACTACTCAGAACACAAAAGGCAGTGGTTCTCAAACTTTAGCATGCAACAGAATCACCTGGGAGACTTGTTAAAATTTAAGATTACTGGTTCCACTTCAGTGTTTTCATTCAATACAGGACATAGAAATTTGCATTTTAACAAGTTCCCAGGTAATACAGATGCTTCTGTAGTAAGCAACATTCTGAGAACCACTGCACTAAATCAAACTTCAAAAATGAGTTACCTCCAAGAGGAATGTTAATATTCTCATGCACAGTTCTATAACCTAAACTTGTATGACATTCCTTTGATGATCAGTGCATATAAAATTAAACTTTGGCATCAAACATTTATGTTTCAAAAGAAAAAGGATTGAATGACTGCATCTTACTTCATTGCATATTCTTTTTTTTAAAAAAAGAGGGTTATTTACTTATTTTGGGAGTGAGCAGAGAGAGGGTGAGAGAGAATCCAAAGCATGCCCCGCACCTTCAGTGCAGTCCTTGACACAGGACTCAATCCCACAACCCTGGTATCATGATCTGAGCCAAAATCAAGAGGTGGACGCTCAACCCACTGAGCCACCAGGCGCCCTCTCAACTGCGTATTTTAACCTAGCTATGACTTACATGAAGATCCACTTGTTTATAAATAGCATTTAAATGTGTGTTTAAAAACAATCTTGTTTTGACAGGAGTAATTCACTTGAAATCTTTAAAGTCTTAAAGTACTCAAGGTGTTAAGTGAGAGACGGAACAGCCCTATCCAACAGATATATACTGAGGAGGTACTGAGGAATACAACCATCTGAGCCTAATGTTCCTTGCTTGACCTTCTGGGCTCTTTTTTTTAGAGAGCAAGTGAGCAAGTGAGCATGTGCGTGTACAAGAGTGCATGTGAGAGTGGGGGAAAGGGCAGTGAAGCCTTATGGCAGGCTGGATCCCACCACTCTCGGATCCTGACCTTAGCCGAAATCAAGAGTTGGATGCTCAACCGAAAGAGCCACCAAGGCACCGCTGGGTTTGTCTTAATAAGAACATAATAGTCCTGCAGACTTTAAATCCCTACAAATAAGCTAGAACTCCCCAAAGTATTTTTTTAATTTTTAAAATTTTAATAATTTTCATTTATTTTTGAAACGGAGAGACAGAGTGCGAGCAGGGGAGGGGCAGAGAGGGAGACACAGACTCCACAACGGCTCCAGGCTCTGAGCTGTCAACATAGAGCTGAATGAAGGGCTTGAACCTATGGATTGTCAGATCATGGCCTGAGCTGAAGTCAGACACTTAACTGACTGAGCCATCCAGGCGCCACTTTGAACTCCCCCAAGTATTAAACCCAACACTTAACTACCTAGCCTTATTATGAGTGCTATAGGGTAAAGGGGCAATTGTATAGGATATAGTGAGACAACACTGATTCTTAAATCAAGCTATCTTGTTTAGCAGAACTGCACCAACTACCCTGATATTCTTATGAATCTAAGGCTCTAGCATACACAAACTCAAGAGTATAGCATATGATTTCAAACAGATAAAAAATTTTTAAGTGAGCTCTTCAGATCATACCTAATGTTACTAGATATAAACAATCAAAGAATAAAATGCAAAACATTTGGCTAAGTTCATTTGCTAGATTAGTCTTACCACACATCAGCCAAAACAAAAATATGTATTACAAGTTACGGACTTGTGGTGTTGATCATTAAATAGCTCAAACCTTGAAATTCTTAAAACAATACTAGAATAGTCCCTAAGGGTGAAGAGCTGTTAGCAAAGAGCATAAAAGAATAGCACTCACTGTAAAAAAACATATGATCAATGTCTTACATCTTAACCTTGCACAATGTTGTACGTCAATTATGTCTCAAAGCAAAAACAAAAACCAGTGCTCACAGCTGTAATCATAATGGCATTGTCATACCTCTTAAAAATATGTGGCCAACATAGCTTAAGTGTCCAACCACCATTAACAGAAATTTTGCATATGAATCCCTTCTAAAGTTGGTTTTAAAAGCCAGATTTCATCTGTACAAGTAGAAAATATTATGGAAGCTTTAGATATAGGAACAAAAAACTTATTTTCTTATAAACGTCCTTCTTGAAATATCATTAGGAAAAAATAAATTTGGATGATCACAATATCCAAAACAAAAACAAAGATTCTAGTTTTAGCCTCTTGAGGCTCTGGTAGTTCCCCTGGAATTAAGGTCTTTACTCTAGTACTTCAGTGTTTCTGTTGAGTATGCACTGTAAAGAGAGGAGGGTAGCATATAGCCAGTCCCAAACCTATCGGGCCCAAGTATTTAGCCTAGAATGCATATGAACTTTGGGAAATGCTGCCACTGACAATCACCTGACAAGAGACACTGTCTTAAGAGATTATTTCATTCCTAAACCAAATGTGTGTGTGTGTATAAATAAATGTTTTAACAAAGAAATCACAAAGAACGTGTAATATATTGTTCATGAGATTTTTAACTCAAAAGCTCAATGACGTGGACTACATTTTTGAAGGTCACCCATTACAAAAAACAAAATACTGACACTATATAACACTGTGTAACTTGATAGATACACAAATGAAAGAGGATGACAATCACCACTACACTGCTAAATCTATTAAAGTGGAAATACCACCTATGGAGTATATTTTCTGTATGCAGGGAAAGTCAGGAGGTAGTACAGTTTTACAAACTATTTCATTAGAAGGGCCTGAACTATGAATAAAATTCTCAAGTGTACCTGAAAACATACACCAAATGCACAACATATATTCCTAAAACACAGATCTGAAGTTGCTACGTATTAGCTGGGTCAATACTTCAAAAGTTTGACTTTTTATATGTATGGGGTTGATATATTTATATATACCTTTAAAAATATAGCACTGCTTAATTGTGCACACCTTGCAAAATATTGTAAACCTTAAAGCTGTGTGATTCCTCTGATATTACCTAATTCAACAGCTTCATTTGACAGATGAAACAGGCATTGAAAAAATTTTGCCCCAATGCTATAGAGCTGTAAATTTGATTAAATTCAATCATCAAATTTCCTGTCTTTATCCACAACACTGCACTATTAGTTGTCCTGCCTCTTGGCTTCCTCTCATCCCATCTCAGCCCTACCACAACCACTGTATTCAGGGCTTACTTTACCTCTTCCCCATCTTTGATCTTTCTCTCTAGGTCCCATTTCCTTTTCATATCCCTCTCCATTGATCACTGACTTTTTCTCTTCAAGTTTAATAATACTTAATTAATTTTACGAATCAGTGTAACATACAAATACTCTAGTTATTTAGAATTAAGATTTTAAGGTTAACTTTCACTATTTATTATTTTCATTATTCATTTTAAAGCCAATATAATTCAGCACAAACATGCATTAATTTGAAGAAGCTTCTAATCATTAACAAGAAACAGGTAGCAGATCAAATTTAATTACTTGGGACACTGACTAGGTTCATGCTTGCATCTGTGTTCCAGCTTTTACACAATCATCTTGGGGATAACCAGGAAATCCAAAATGTAGAAAGATACTATCTAAACAAAACTCAAGATAAATTTTAAAGGTTGAGGTCTGCTGAACAGTTTTCTTCACTGTGTGACCTATTTAGATATTCATCATCACACAATTGAAACTGCAAAATCTGTTTTGCCAATGTATGATTGAATAAATGAAGGAAAAAAAAAAAAAGAAAATCTCACCCCCTATGGTACTCTCTTGAAATTCATGAAACTGGCCCTTCACAAAACGTAGCACTAGGCTTGATTTGCCAACAGCAGACTCTCCCAGAAGTACTAGTTTGAACTGGCATATTTTATTTCCAGTATTTGGCCCGTTGGGTCTTGTTGCTCCTCGATTAGCCATGTCCAAATGTGAAAGTGAATGAAGTCCCTAATTTCAGTCTTTTAAATGAACTTCCAGGGTGCAAGGTGTCAAATTTTTTTCTTTCTGGATGTAGAGAAACCTGTAAAGAAACAAATATTACATAATTAAAGACACAAATCAGTAAGCAAATCTAATGTTAATCACCTCAGTAATTTTGACTATAACATACAATATAATTATAACCTCTACAAGACACTAAATGCCATTTATTTAAATTCTCCACCTCTGTATGAGACTTAAGCCTAAAATCCTGCTGTAATTTTCAGATTAAAAAAAATTTTAAGCTAACCTTTATTTAAGACTCAACTTTGGGAGGGTCTGGGTGGCTCAGTCGGTTAAGCGTCCAGGTCATGATATTGCAGTTTGTATGAGCCCCCCACATCAGGTTCTGTGCTGACAGCTCAGAGCCTGGAGCCAGCTTCAGATTCTGTGTCTCCCTCTCTGTCTGCCCCTCTATCAAAAATAAACATAAAAAAAATTAAAAAAAAAACCCCAAAGACTCAACTTTGTACTAGCTAATTAAGTACTTAACACAGTTATCAACAATCCTGTAGACTGTTACAATACTTAAAAATGAGGAAACAGGCACAGAGAGGTTAAGTAACTTGACTGAGATCACAGTTACTGTGACAGAGCCATGACAGAGCCACAACATAGCTATGTTTCAAACCCAGTCAACCTGAGAGGTGACTTAAAGAGTTCAGGTTCTGAAGCCAGACTAGATGGGTTAAAATACTTTTGGGGAAAATTAAGTTCATAAATGGGAAGTTCTTACAACAGATCCTAGAACATAGTAAGAACTCAATAAATGTTGGCCATTATTATTTGAAGGCCCCTATTAAATTGTACATTTTTAAATTAATGGTAATTTCAGAGCAACAAATATTTTGTGTCTTGTGGCTAAAAGACTTAAAACTGTTTTCTCATGTGCTCAAATATATCATACATGTAAGTATTAGCTGTGGTTCTCTATGTGGTGAGCCTATTGGTGTCTTATTTACTTACACTTTTCTGTAGTTTTGGGGCTAATAATTATGTCATTATTTTCTATTTAACACATTTAGAAAAAACTAGCCTAAATGGCAACTTCTATGTCTTCTCTTAATACCTAATGCTAATTTTCAATCTCAAAGGAATAAGAGAACATTAAAAAGGACTCTTTTCCAATTTACTCACAAAATCACTATAGTTTTCTCTCATCTTTAGTCAAAATCTCATTATGTGTTTACTATTAACACTAAATCTGATGATTCCCTCCCTAAAAATCACTGTTACATTTCACTTAGGTACCTTATATATTTTGCCTTCCTCACGAATTTATATAAAACTCCCTCTTGACAATGGATTCATTAGTAAATATCCATGAGACCTTACATTTGAGACAGTAAAATCACCACTGTCTTACCTCAACAGCAGCTTTGCAGAGTTCTTTTAGTGATACATACTAAACTATTTAAACAAGAAATGGTATGTCTAAGTTGTTTCTAAACAGTAGAGATATATAAATAAAACACTACTGGCCATAGATAATTTAAAGAACATGATGGGTTCATTCTACTATTCATTTTCCCTGCTTCTGTGTATCTTAAAATTTTTCTGTAATAAAAAAATGCTCCAATCCCCACCACATTAAAAATACTGGATTTGGGGATCTAATCCTGCCTGGCTATACTGAAGTTACCTTATTCCAAATACCTAACTAACTTACATAACTGCTGGAGAATTAAATGAAAGAATATTTGTTAAAAAAAAATCTCTAATACAGTGGCCAACACATAACAGGGATTAATAATTGGCAATTAAAGTGACTCTGTGATAAAATAATGACCAAATATCAACGGAACATCATGCAGACTAAACATATCAACACACCTTCAGATATTTCACTACCAACTGAAACATTTCCCAGTTACCTCACTACCTACAAAACGGCAAACTGAAATACTCAAGAACATGCTCTGAATTTTGAAAGCCCCAAATTTCAGAGAAAACATGAAATTCCCATAAAAATTTTTTTGCTTTGTCTTATAAGGGGTAAAGCTGTTGGAATATAACTCCCTCCAACACTCTAGAGCAGAAAATAAATGTAATTAAAGTTAGCACAGTAAGGTTAAAAATCATGAGCATTCATTTTTATTCACGACCGAAACTTTTGTTTCCCAAAACGAAGATTTTGCATAAAATGCATTTTAAAATCTTTTGAGAAAAACCGGTCTCCTATAAAGTCCTCTAGGGGCTCGTTAATAAAAATAGTATTAATCACAGCAGCTAACATTTACCAGACACTTACTTGGTGCCAACCATTATTCCGTGAATTCTGCTGACAGCAACCCTATGAACTCATACTGTCCCAATTTTACATTAAAAATAAAGTTTCTGAGCGCTCTTGACTTGCAATCGTGTTGTACACGTTGTTTTGTTTTTTTGACTAGTTATAGTGTTGTACACGGGTTTTTTTTTTTTTTTTAAACTAGTTATGTGAAAGGCCTCTGAATCAACATTGTGACAAGAACCAAACTATGTGAATGATGACGTCCGGAGCTTACGGTCTGAAAATCTCACGGGGGTAACCAGCTCCCGGGGAGGAGAACGGGAGAACAGAAGGTCTCGGCCCACTGTGCGTGTTCAGCGGCCTAGTTGTCTCGAGTTCTCCGAAGCTGCGGTCCCCCACCTTTCCCAGGCGAGACCGTCCCTAGGCACACTGTGCGGACGAGCCTCCCTCCTCCGGCCTCCATTCCCGGGACGTCTTAGGAAGTCGAAGGTAGGAGGAGCTCCCCCAATTCACACCTGCCGTAGGCCCCGGGTCCTCCCTGGGGAGCACCTGAGTGACTGATCCCGAACTCCGCGCGGCCAGAGCAAGGCAGGCCCCGCCAGGCCCCCGGGCCATCGTTCCCGGCCTGCCTCCCCGAACCTGGCCTGGCCCGGGCCGGGACCACCCCCTCCAGAGCTGCCAGGGCAGGGTCCGGACGGAACCGCGGCCTCCAGCGCTCTTCCACGGCGCCATCTTGAGAAGGGAACAGGGTGACACCCGTCGCTCCCTCAGCCTGTCTGCAAATCCCGGGCTCCACAGCTCTTTGAGGAAGGAACCACCAGGGCCGGCGTGACGAGACGCCGGGATCGCTAGCTCTGGCGCGGGGCGCTGGCGCCGGGAGGGGAGGAATGGGCGGGGGACGCCCGTGCCGGCAGGGCCGCGGGCACTAGGAGGACAGCGTAGAGCCTGGGGTCCCGGCCGGCTCCGGGCAGGGGACGGACGGCTCGGTTACCTGAGAACGCAGCACGCGGAGCCGCGCGGGGCTGAAGCCTCCCGGCAGCGGGTCCCAGGCGTAGCCCAAGAAGAGGGTGAGGCTGTGGCTTAGACAGCGGCGGCGCGTCTCCTCCTCAGGCCGCTCCCCTCAGACTGGACCGTGCCGGGATCGTGCCGTGGTGCCGCCCCCGTCCGGCTCCGTCTCCGCCTCTCTCCGCTCCGCCTCCCTCTTTTCGTTTCTCCTCCTCCGCCACCGCCGGCGCTCGAGTTCCGACTGATTCTTCCTCCTCCTCCCTCCTCTGCCTCCTCCCCTCAGACCAGCCGGCGGCTCCGTCGCAAACCAAAACACAAACACTCAAGTCCCAGCGCGGGAGCCACTTCCGCCGCCCGGCGCCGGCCTCTCCGCCACGTCGCTGCACGTAGCGAGCTACGCCTTTCGTCACTTCCGCCGTCGTCAGGCCGCCCTCTCCATCCGCTCCCCCGCCCCTTCTCAAAGCCCGGTCGGCCGGGGCTGGCCTGCGGGGCCGGGTGGGGCGTGCCACGTGACCTCGGCGAGCAGCCGCGTCGGATCCAGCTACCTCCCACCTCCCACGTCCCAGGCAAGCGCGGCCCCGCCCTTGCCGGCGCCATTGTTATCTGGGTGGTGGTCTGGGGCTCCCGCCGGCTGGGGGTAGGGGAGCTCCTTTACTGCCTTGCTTTCGGGGAAGCGTGAGAAAACGGGTTTGTTGCTACCCGCCCATATGGGGCGGCGGAGTTCCCTCTGAATATTTGCTCGCAGTCCCAGTTACCCTACCCTGCAACACCCCAACCCTGGCAGCTTGGCCAAGGGGAGGGGGGGGTGCGGTGTACGTTTCTACCCCCCCAACATGTCCTGGAAGGGATGGATGTGTTGCAAAGGTGTGAAATTTACCCAGGGAAGAGGATTATACCCCATACCAAAAGTTGTCCCTAGGTGAGGAAACCTTAATAACTTGCTTTTAATCAGTGAACCTAGTTTTGGTGGGGGGAGGGGGGAAGGAAATCTTAAAATAATAGCTTGCTTTTCTTCGGAGTTTTTTTCTTTACAAGTTACTGTACTAAACGCTTCAGAAGAGTTATTCCATTTTAGTCTTCTACTAGAAGGTTTCACTCTGAAACTATTATGTGAAACGAAATGCCCTACATTAGAATATTAACTCCCCAAAGTGGTCCTCATTGCTGTGTCTCATAGTGCCTGCCAGCTCAGGGTCTTCAGTCCTAAGTGTGGAATTAATGAATGAGGCGTGCCTGTTTTAAAGGTAAAGAATTTGAGGCAAAGAGATTGTGTAACTTGTGCAAAATCACCACTGAGCCAGTGATGAAATTGTATTCTGACCTGCAGGCTGGCTCCAGTGCCTGAGTTTACGCAGGATTGTAGTAAAAGACAACTTGAGGGGCGCCTGGGTGGCTTAGTCGGTTAAGCGTCCGACTTTCGCTTAGGTCATGATCTCGCGGTTTGTGGGTTCGAGCCCCGCGTCGGGCTTTGTGCTGACTGCCAGCTCTGAGCCTGGAGCCTGTTTCAGAGTCTGTATCTCCCTCTCTCTCTGATCCTCCCCTGCTCATGCTGTCTCTCTCACTCTCTCTCTCTCCTAGAAATAAATTAAAAAAAAAAAAAAAAAAACTGTCTCTCTCACTCTCTCTCTCTCCTAGAAATAAATTAAAAAAAAAAAAAAAAAAGACGACTTGAGACTTTGATTACCATCCACTGCAGACCTACATACACACCTTGCTTTGGTTAGAGTTCATACAGTAGTTTCTGGCCAGGTATCTGAAAGGAAACAAAACAAAATTCATTTTGTAATTTGGTAGAATGTTAAGTGGATTTTCCCTCAGGATAAAGACTACTTTTCAGTTTGCAGTTTACCATTTCTAGCCTCATTTTGAGAGAGAGCATCAATATTGATTGTCTAGGATGTGTACTGGGGGTAAGGTATTCTAAGGGTTCTCAGTCGGCGTTATGCAATGAAGATGATTTGAACCCGGGAACAGCCAGTCTTCTAGATCAACTCCCCAGTTACTAAGAAGAAGAGCATAATGAGTCATACCTAAATGCTATCTGTGGCACTTTATCCCAAGAGGTTGTTCCCATATGTTAGTCACGTTAATACCTCTTGGACAATCCAAGGAAGAATCAGGAAATAGGGTATGTCACATCAGTTTTGGCATGTCAATAGTATGTTCCAAACGAAACCTATTCCACCCCAAACCTGCTTCTGCTTTGTTGACTGGTATTAACAGCCTCCCAGTCACCTGGAGGTGAAGGCCAAAATCACCTTCACTCTTGCTGGTTTCCCTCATAAACCATTGTCTATTCTAATACCAAAAATTCTCTACTCCCCAAATCTGTGACCTAATCCTAATACCCGGGCCTTGGTAGTATTAATATGAACACGAATTAATGCACACACCTGTCTTTTCCGTCATTTTGTACACTTCAGCCAGTGCTCAAGGATAGCTCATTTGCAAAACGGTCTAAACTTCTCTAGTCCCCTCCCACATGCCTTTCCTTCTGTTTTTGTGGCCTCTGTCTCCCCAAACACTTGCTTTGTATCCTAATCACACTGGTCTACTCTGTGTTCCCAGAATGTTGTCCGTGTGTTCTTATCTTGACATACTTGATGACTTTGTTCTGTCTGTCCCAGATCACTATTACCGCCCATCACTGCGGGTTTCACTTTGGTCAGGATGCCAAACTGAAGCATCAACTGAGGATACAGTTGACCCTGGAACCATTCCGGGGTAGGGGCACTGACTCCCCCCACAATTGGAAGTCTGCATGTAATGTTTGGCAACCCCAAAACTTAAGTACTAATAGCCCAGCGTTGACCAGAAACCTTACCAATAACATATTTTGTGTGTTAAATGTATTAGATACTGCATTCTTACAATAATACCTAACTTTTAATTTTTCTGGTATTTCTAGCTATGCCATTTGCAAGTTTTTTCAAAATTTTGCAAATCTCCAAAAAAATTTCTGATATATTTATTGAAAACATCCGCATATAAATGAATTCAAACAGTTCAAATCTGTGTTGTTCAAGGGTTAATGGTATTTCTACTGGATTTAGTTTATTTTTTTCCTGTAGTTTCACACTACTTTGTTTTACTTGCTGTAGTGGTTCTAGTACCTGTCTGCCTTATTTTATAGTGCCTACATTTTTCTCCTAAGGTTTTCATTCCCATTAGGGAAGCTAAAATGTCATTAGGATTTTAAAGTTCTAAAGGACCAAGACCATAACTTATTCATCATTTCAGTCCTCACAAAGGATCTTTAATATAACAGTGACCTGAAAAATATTTGTGAGCCTAATTGCATTTTGAGTGGTGAACGTTTGACTTGAGAAGACTTCACAAACAACACATGGATGCTGAAATTTATAAATTGTTAGGAACTCCCCATTTCATTGTTCTAGGATATCGCTTCCTCATTTATTTTCTTCTAACAATTTTGTCTTTTAATTCACCTCCTTCATGAAAACATTCCACAATATTTTATAGTTTAGTCGTAATGTTTTTTTTTTAATTTTTAATGTTTTATTTATTTCTGAGAGAGAGAGAGACTGTGAGCAGGGGAGGGTCAGAGAGAGAGGGAGATACAGAATCCAAAGCAGGTTCCAGGCTCTGAGCTAGCTGTCAGCACAGAGCCCCACATGGGGCTCGAACCCACGAACTGTGTGATCATGACCTGAGCCCAAGTCAGATGCTCAACCTGACTTGCATCAGTTGCAAGTCTGGTTGCAAGTTGAACCTTGCTCAAATGTTCACCAAATACACTTTCATTAAAACCTGACAGTCGTAATGTCAATTAGTCTCATGGTTTAACATCCAGAATTTGAGTTTGCACAATGTTTTAAGAAGTTGATATGCACGATTGTGTAACACTCCTCAAACTCTTAATATATTTAAATACTATTTAAAGCCTAATTAGAGTGTAAATGTTCTCCAAGACTTTATGTAGTTCCTGTAACACAAGTACCAAATAACATCACAGAATTTCAAGTAGCTCTTTAGTCTAAAAGAACTACATGCAGTATGCATGTTCATGCACAAGGAAAGGACCTAAAATTAATGGTCACAGCCAGAATAGTGGTTACTTTTATCCTGATTGCCAGTAAAATTAGTAGGCCAATGACCAGTAGGAGGAAGCCCACAGTTGAATCCATCCTGAGGGGATTGCTTTGCTTGAGAAACCAAAGAGAAGTTGGTAAGCATTTTCTCCAGTGCCCAAGACCACATCCTCCATGTTTTCTTGCCCTCCAGATTTAGTCAAGAAGGTGGAAAAAAGAAAAGAGAGGGAGAGAAGGAGAGAAAGAACAAGGGGGAGAGAAAGGAGAGGGAGAGAAACTGACAGAACTGACAAAGGAGAAAGTAGGGGAGAAATGGGGGGGCAGTGGGGGAATCCTGCCGAGAGAAACAATTGGGCGTTAAGCCACGCCCCTGTTTCCTAGGTAACCGGGTAAACAGACCTTCGTCGTCTTTTCATCCATCAACTCCGCTAGGTGTTAATTCGTAGCAGGAAGCTGCGGGCAGGGAATCTGAGTGGAGATGTGTTCTTTCGTGAGAATGGGGTCCCCCACAGGTTTGGGGCACCCTAAGGGATTAGGAACTTCCCTTGAGCCAGGTACAGACTTCCCCTTTGAGATGAGTGCTGTTGGAGGAATGAGGGTGTCTGAGAGGAAATTTCCCCAGAGCATGGAGGTTGGGCTCACTCATGAAAGAAAGGATGATTTAGGAGAGAGGGGGGGCGTCATGGGAACAAAATCTCCTACAGAGTTAGGGTTCAGAGTGGGATTAAGAAAAGAAGATTCCTCATGTAGGGAGGACCTCTTGGTTAGTAATGGATTTGAGAGGATGGCATCACCAGAAACAAAATCTCCACTGAGCAAGGAGCTTGAAATGAAATTAAAAAGACAGAATATTTCTAGGACCCTCATGGAGAGCGGCAATTTAGGAGTCTACGGGGTCTCAGCCTCACAGGAAAGGAAACCTCCTCTAGGTATGGTGCCAGGAAGAGTGGGTTTAGAAAATGAGTGTCTTCTGGCAGGGTGTTCTGGAAGGGTAATACAGCCTTCCTTAGGCATGGTGTGCAAAAGTCCACAGGCTCTAGGGAGCAGGGCTGGTTCCGCTAAATGGTTAGGGGCTTCAGCAGGGAAACAGCCTGCTTTGGATATGGAACCTAGACAGGAACTGGGAAGAGAGACCTGTGTGGTAATGAAGCCGAGTGCAGAGATAAAGCCTCCTGCAGAGGTGGACACCGGTCTGGAAGAGCCAGATGAAACAGGCCCCCAAATGGGCTTGGTGATAGAACCTTCTGAATGCGCGTTTGCCCAACAATCTGAAGAGAGAAAGGAGACTGAAAACCATGAACCTGTAGTAGAACCTCCAGATCACATCAGACCTATATACTCTGGGAAATTTTTTGATCGGATGCCTTGCTGGCCAAGTGTAAGTTTTTTCCTAGTTCTTTTCCTAGGAACTGTGGAAAGCCATGCCTTTATCAAGATGACGAACTGATGAGACTTGTTTGTGTTCGTGGAGTCAAACTGCAAAGATTTCATTAGGATTCTTGTATACCTTGTCTGTTGGATTCTTTCCAGCTTTTACTTTGTCTGATCTCCTCTCACGCTCTGCCTCTCTTCCTGGATGTCAGCTTTGTTTTCTGTGCATACCAGTGGTTCCTCTGGATTTCTCCTGCCTTTCTCCTCTGACTTTCATTTTATTTCTCAATCTGCATTTTCTAAACCCTTTTACTGAGATACATGTTATATCCTCATAGTCATGTAATGAAGGGAAACAAAAAAATATTTCTCTTATTCATTACTTATTCTGTGAGTTATTCATTCTTTCAGCAAAGACTTGTGGTGGCCATTTTGCTGGATGCAGAACAATATAAAATGAAAAATACATGATCTCTACAATCTAGGTTTAGACATCCATTTCAATGTTGGAGACACATAACAAGTATTGTATAGATGTCCAAATGAATGAAAAACAAATGTGACTTTTCCTTCACAGAAATATACTGTAAGCACAGAGCTCAGTGGAAAGATTGGACAGCTCTCTTTGAAGGAGATGGGAAATGCTTTGCCTAGGAAGTAATATTTGAGCAAATTTAGAAATCTCAGATGGAAAACAAGGTTGGAACATTTTTGGCAAAGAAAGGTATAAAGCATGAGCAACGTTTCTTGTGTTTGGGAAATATAAGCAATTCTTTTTATCCAGCATGATGTTGAGAGATACAGATGAAAAAGAATTATGTGAACAGGGGTGCCTGTGTGGCTTAGTCACTTAAACATCTGACATCAACTGAGGTCATGATCTCGTGGCTCATGAGTTGGAGCCCCACATCAGGCTCTGTGCTGACAGCTCAGAGCCTGGAGCCTGCTTCTGATTCCGTGTCTCCCTCTCTCTCTGCCCCTCCCCTGCTCATGC